CAAATTTTCTATAGAGCACGGGATAGTAAAACTACCTGGGTCCTTCTGTTTCTGCGGAAGCTTGTTCTGCAGAATGGCCGAGCACTCCTCGCTGAGCTCCACAGTGGCCAGCTCGCTCAGCTTCTGCTTCTTTGAGAGAAGATCCTTTAGGAACTTCGCATACTTAGGCATTTGAGATAGTGCCTCCAGGAAAGGTACTTGGACATTCAGCTTCCTAAGCATGGCCATGAAGTTCTCGAACTCTGCCTCAAGCCTGTCTTTGTGCAACCGAGTAGGGAAGGGGAGTTTAGGGATATACTCCTTCACTACTGGTTGCGGTTTAGGTGCAGGCACCTCAACCTCCTTCTCTGCTTCTTCTTCAGCTGCTGGAGATGCCGAGGCAGGGGCCTCTCTCTCTTGTGCCCGAGCAGGTGGATCAACAGTCATCTTGCCACTCCTGGTCATGATGGCATTGCAGTGCTCATTCGGGTTTTGAGGATGAGGGATGGTCTGACCGGGTTGAGTACCAGGAGCCCTTTGTGCCACTGCTTGAGCCACACTCCCCAGCTGGGTTTTGGATATCCTGCAAGACAGCCTGTGGGTTCCTCTGGCCAGCTTCAAGAGCCAGGAATTTACCCGATGCCTTTTCCATGAACTGCTCGATGGTGTTAAATTTTTGAGCACTAGAACTGGGGCGGCAGGGGCTGCACCTGGCTACTGGAAAGGTCGCAGCTGTGATGGAGCAGCATGCCCCTGCATGGGCTGGTAAAGAGACTGCTGCTGCTAGAATTGCCCCTGTTTGGGCTGATATGGTGGCCTCTGGAAGCCCGGTGGTCCTTGGGGGACTGGTGGTCTGGAATTTGCCCCACCCCAGGAGAAGTTGGGATGCTGGCGCCACCCCTCATTGTAGGTGTTACTGTAGGGGTCATTGCGCCTGACATTGTTGATGAAGTTCACCTGCTCCTGGGGTGTGGTCCACTCCTTCATCGCCTGGCAGTCTTCCACTGTATGATGGGTGCTCTCGCACCACTGGCAGAGCATCGCCTGCTGCTGTCCGGTCCTTGGAATCATCCCGGAACGATCGATAGCTGAAACCAGCTTCGACACCACCTGCACCAAATCAGAGGAATGGTTTCCCACAGAATGTACACCTCGGCTTGGTGCTCTCCTCGACCTCCTCGCAGTGCCCCAATCATACCCGTTCTCTGCTATCTCCTCAAAGAGTTGATTCATCTGTGGCGGTGTTTTAGTCAGCATGTTCCCGCCACAAACTAAGTCAATCAGCTGCTTATCTTCTGGGAAGAGGGCATGATAGAAGGCTCCCACCTTGAAAGCATTGTTGAAACCATGATTGGGACACCTCAGGAAGAGACTGTTGTATCTCTCCCAAGCATCGCGGATGGTCTCATCTTCATCCTGGGTGAAGTGGGTGATCTGCTTCTGCAAGTCCGCCGTCTTGGACGGAGGATGGTAGCGGGTGAGAAACTTGTCCGCCAGGTTGGCGAATGTGGTGATGGAGCCCGGAGGTCGAGTGTCTAGCCACTCCTTGGCCTGCCCCTCCAGGGTGAATGGGAAGTACCTCAGCTGGATGGCATCTGCTGGGACATCATTGATCTTGATTCCATCAATGAGCTCATGGAATCGCCTGAGATGTGATCGGGCGCACTCCCCCTCTTTGCCACGGAACATCACCGAACCGCGCAGCATGGTGATTACTGAGGTGCTCACCTCAAAATTATTGGCTGGGACATGAGGGTGTTGAATGGGTGACCTCATGTCTGCAGCCCTGGCGGTCCGGTAATGACCCATGGTCTGCTCCTCGGGATCGATCACAGCATGGCCCTGTGGATCAGCCATCTCCTCTTCTTTAGTGATCTGTAGCTGTGCTAGCGCCTCCTCCGCAGCCAGTCGCGCCTTTAGAGCCCGCTTTAAGTTTATGCAGGTTCGTTCAAGCTCCTGGTCTAGTGGTAGTAGATCTCCCAACTGGCTACGGGGATGCACTACCTGCACACAATCAGCAGAAGCAACCCGTGAAGGCACACAGGTGGAAGAGATAAAATGCAGTAAATAAAAAGCTAGAATAACAAATTCTCACGTTTCCCCAATAACCTAGAGGGTCCCCGGCAACGGCGCCAAAAACTTGACACGCCAAAACACAACACCAATCTGCGATCAAGTGTAGTCGCAGACCGGGAATGCAGTAACAGGCAAGTTATATTATCAACCTGGGGTCTAGATCTACTGCTTACTCAGTGATTATCTATTATCTAGCCAACTAAAGTAAGTGATTGTTGTTTAAAAGCAAAAGCAGAACGAAAGCAGGAATTGATACGGTTTTCTCAAGCAGGTAAGAGTCACTCGGGAATGAGTCCCCCTAGCTCCTTAGTTAGGTTTCAATTGTATTTCCCTGGGTTGATTTACTGTTGATTAGACTGCGGAAAATCCGACAGTAGCTTGGAATCTCTTAAGCTGACCAAGCCCTCTCAATCTATCTACCCGGCAGACTACTAGTCTTCACCGGGATAGAAAGCTGAAGCAGTAAGAACAGAACTCCACTACTGGAATTAGATTCCAATACAAAGAAGTACACTGGCTAACTCTCGTATAGCCAATCTCCTACTGCCGAATGATGAGACTCTAGCAACCTAATCAGATTTTATCTATCTCAGATTGCAGCAGGAATCAGGAAAAGTTGATCAGGCTTCAATTGACTCAATAAACATGCATCATTCGATTAAAATCAAACAGTAATATCATCCCAAGTCATTACAATCAATCCCTAACACATAGAACTAGGGTTCTTCATCCCCAAGTGAGAGAGGGGTTCTACTCCATAAAGAGAGAGAGAGGAAAACAAGATACAAAGCAGTCATACTCATAATTATGGGAAGAATCTGCTCTGGGATGATGATTTCCACTCCTATGACGATCTCCAAGCTTGATTTGATGAAACCCAGCTTCAAGATAGCTTCTAGGATGTGTTCTTCGTCCTTTCTCTCTCTAGGGCTTTGTTTTTGCTCAAAAATCCGATCCCCTCTCTTGCAGCCCGAAATTGGGTTAAAACCAGGAATTCCCGACTCACACGGGCTGGGCCACACGGCCGTGTGGCATACCCAGTTTCCCGTGTGAGTCAAAACGCTGCGTTCCAATTAGTTCGATCTTCAGGCTTCCCACACGGCCAGGGTCGCACGGCCGTGTGGGATTTCCATCCTGCCCGTGTTTGCTCTCGCACAATCTCACACGGCCAGACCACTCCTTCACACGGCCGTGTGGATATCAGGGCAAGCCGTGTTTGCTCTCGCACAATCTCACACGGCCAAAGTGGTCTCGTACACGGCCGTGTGAGTTGTGGGTGTGCCCGTGTGGCCTCCTTTGTGACTTGCCTCGCGCCCGATCTTCTTCCAATCGACCCCAAACTCGCTCCCAAGCCTCCATTCACGTACTAGGACCTGAAATATCACAAACAAGCACAACCTAGCGTGAAATCGGCCTAAAACACGAGAAATCACATCTCAAACGGTGTAAGAACAGGGGTAAAAACATGTGTAATTAACGGTCTATCAATACTCACCAACAAGCTCCCACGGTGGAGGACCACTCGAACGTCCTCCCCTACACCGTCCAGTCCCCGAGCTCTCTGTCTCCTCACGAGCAGGTGGTACGAACCGCCCAGCTCGGTCCCTATACATAACAGGACGTGATGTTTCCGTACAAGACGTCACTCGTCCACTCTCGATGCAGCACCCTGGTTCCTCCCATGGGAACCAGACGCCCGTGATGCCGAACGAGCAACTACAGTAGGAGCCTCTAACTCATCCTCCCCTTTGCCTCTGACTGATGTCCAATATCTCGAGAGCGCTTCTTCTCCTTATTCTTCTTAGGCACATTCCTTCGTGTTGATGCATCAACAACCCTACCCATTGAATCTATGCAACTCAATCCCACTCGCATCATCCATATCTAAATATCTACAAATTTACACAATATCATACTTAGATGCGCACTAATTAATTAAATTTCTATTAACTAATGTACTATTAACATTAATTGTTAATTAATCACAAATTAATTAATTTTCTATTAACTAATGTACTGAATATTAACATTAATTGTTAAATCAATTATTAATTAATTTTCTATTAACTAATCTAAGTAATTAAACATTCATACACCTATTACCAAAATAAACATTCATACACCAACTTAAATAAATATTAACACTAATTGCTAATTTCTATTAACTAATTAAGTAATTTTTTATTGACTAATTAATTAACATATTAAATTAAATGCAAAAACCGGCCAGGCCGGAAAAAACTGCGGCCGGTGCGTCGCCGGCCCGAAAACATTTTGCGACCGGTGCGCCGCCGGGACGAAAATTTTATGCGGGCGGTGCGCCGCCGGCCGGAAACATTCAGCGGCCGGTGCGACGCCCAGCCGAAAATCTCTTTCAGCCCGACGTCGCCCCGGCCGCAAAATATTTTCGGTCGGCCGACGAACACGCCCCTGGCTTCACGCCTGGCCGAAAAATACTTTCTGCTCGGCGGCGTTCCGGCCGTAATTTTTTTTCGGCCTACCGTGTTTTTCGCCGGAAAACTGGAAAACTTGCAAGAAAATTGGAAAATTTGCCGGAAAAAGTAAACTTACTTGTTTTCCGATGATTGAGGGCGATGGAGGAACAGTGCTGGCGACGGTGGCACTGGGCTCGTCGACAGAAGTTTTTGTTGGAATGAGTCAAATGTTAATGGTATCGGAATTTATAGAATGAAAGGAAGGAAAAATCTTGAATTCAAATTTTTTATATTTTTTAGTTGGCGGCAAATAACAATTTGGTTGGCGGCAAACAGCCGTTCACAAACCTTGTTTCTCTGCTCTTTAGTTTTGTAACTTATTTCTCTCCCTTTCTCACATTTAATAAAGAAAAGAAGACTAAAGGCAATTACCTACCGGCTACCACTTGTTGTTTGTGCTATTACGCAACGACTTTCGGCATTGACTTCGTTAGCCTTCAAAGTTTTATACTCATTACTCAACACAGAAAAAGTCTCCTCTCGAGAAGTTGTAAGAAAACTAAAAAAGAGAAAGCAATCCATCCATCCGAGATCGAGAGAGGGATGTCGACGGTGGCCGGATTGCCGAAATTCATGGTGCTGAAATCCAAGTCCGACGGGAAATACCTGCACTACCTCTGGAACGACGACTCCTTCGGGCCTTACGTCAACGACCTGGGATGCAAGCGACTCCTGGACCCGCTCAGCCCTTTCGTGAAGCTGGAGGTCGTCCCGTCCGGATCCGATCCGGCCCATCTGATCCACCTCCGCTGCTGCCACAACAACAAGTTCGTGAAGCTCGACAGCAGGTACGGCGTGTCCTGGATCTCCGCCACCGCCAACGGACCGGACGAGAGCACGGCCCGGTCCACCTGCACCCTCTTCCGGCCCATCTTCCCGCCGGGCGAGCCCAACACGGTCGGGCTCCTGCACGTGCAGACCAACTGCCACGTGCGGACATTCTTCAACCAGGGCTACAACGACGATATCAACGGGGTCGCTTGCGCCTACTCCAACGACGGCCAAGGCATGCACCGGTTCGAGTTCGCGGCTTGGGAATCGTACGACGAGAAGATGGCGTCCAAAGAAGGCGAGACCCGGCAGCTGAGAGCGTCTAACGTGGCGAATATGAATGCTAAAGACGTCGAGATCCGGCAGCTGAGAGCGTCTAACGCTGCGAATATGAGTGCCAAAGACGGGGAGATCCAGAAGCTTAGAGCGTCTTATGAGGAGAAGATGAAGGCTAAAGATGATGAGATCCAGAAGCTGAAATATCAGGGCAAGGGCGGTGGCGGCGGCAGCGATGAGTGTCTGCAAGCTGATGAGATAGTGGCGGAGCTGCGGATGGAGATAGCGGAGCTGAAAGTGCAGCTGGAAGATGCGTGCAGGGAGATTGACGAGTTGAAAGCAGCATCCGGCTAGTGATCATTGCCTAATCGATGTCTCATCGACGGCATAAACTCTAATATACCAATATAACAAGCGAAATGAAATGGTGGGTTTATGACATCGAATTGTGAAAAACTGTATTTACTGTCGTTGTTGGCTTACTGGGACAATAATTTATTGGGAATACCTGCAACACTTTTTATGGTTTGTATTTGGATAGTATGATTTGGATTTGCTATTTGTTATTTGAATTTCCAGATAATAAATTCAAATAATGTGTTTGGATATTAATTACATTTGATATTTAGATTTGTGTCAAATTCATGGGGCAATTTTCAAATACATGTCTAGTATATTACTTAGAACTGGAGGTTCGGTTATCGGTTGTCGGTTAACCGGTCGGTTAAACCGATAACTGTCGATTACCGGTTAACCGACTAACAGTTTTTAACGGGTGCGGGCAGTGTTCGGTAGTGAGGTTAGAGAGGCCGGTTAACCGGCTAACCGACAGTGGTAACCGCCGGTTAAACCGACTAATCGACGCATCTTTCACCTCGTAAAAACAACGCCGACCCACCCCTCCTTCCACGTTCCACCCTAACCCTAAGGGCGCCTAATCGATCCGCCATTCCACCCCTCCTCTACCCTTGTCCCCTTCCACTTCCTCTGCATCGCGAGACCACTGTCCTGACTTTCCCTGTCGCCGCCGCGCTGACTCTCCCTACCGCCGCCCTGACTCTCCCTGTCAATTTGATGTGAATTTGGAAGTGGAGTGATGAAAGTTGTAAATTGGTGGTGGAGATTGTGAGAAATGGAGTTGAAAGAATCTTGGTTGGTGGTGGTGTTAAAATTATAGCTTTATTTAAAATTAGATTATGACCAACCAGAAGAGAAATGAACAGAAGTTAATTAGATTCCTTGGCTCCTTGACATTAACACTTTGCACGGTTAAAATTAAGATTTGTCGTTGTTGTTAATGAAATGGCTTGTACTTGTGGACAGCAGGACATGCTTGTATTTGTTATTAGAGAGTGCATACACTGTCATACTCTAATCAAAGCTCATCCTCACAAAAATGGGACCACTGCAATGAATAACCACATGCACTCATGTTTGGCTGAGTTGGCAGCAACAAAAATTCAGACAGTATTGCAGACATCAGAAGGTGGTCTAGTCAGTGGTTTTATGGAAATTTGATCAGGGAAAAGCTAGATATGCATTAGCCAGTGTGATCATTATGGATGAATTGTCATTTCGCTTTGTGGAGAGGGAAGGATTTAACCAATTCATTTCTGCTGTTCAGCCACTGTTTAGGATACCCGGGAGGAAAGCTATACGAGATGACTGCTTTCATATCTTCTTGGATAAAAAGATGGATTTAATTCATTTTTTGAATCAAGGAGCCAAGGAAGAGATTCAATCACTACGGATACATGGACTTCTGATAACAACAAGAATTATATGTGTGTTACTGCTCACTTTATTGGAGGTGATTGGTAGTTGCAAAAGATGGTGATAGCCTTTGTTCCCATCACAAGTCATACTGGAGTTGATATTGTAGGGAAGCTTGCAGGAGTTCTTGAAGAGTGGAAGGTGAAGAATCTGCTCTGCATGACCATGGACAATGAAACTTCAAATGATGTTGCCAGTGAGTGCATGAGTACGAAGCTAAAGGAGTGGGGGTGTGATTTGATGGATGGGAAGTTTCTGCAGTTTCGATGTGTTGCACACATCATGAATCTGAAGGTACAAGATGGACTAAAAGTGGTTGGTGGTGCTGTGGACAGAGTTCGGGATTGTGTGAAGTGGGTGAAGTCTTCACCAGCTAGGTTGTTACGGTTCAAGAATGGCATGGAATTTCTGCATGTGGAGTCAACCAAACTGGTGTCTTTGGATGTACAGACCAGGTGGAACTCCACCTATACCACGTTAGAGTCAGCAGAAAGTTTTGATGCAGTGTTTACAACTTTATATTCAAGTCCACATGATCATTCTCTTTGAGATAATCTGACTCTAGAGGTGGGCTTCAAACTAATCAAGATTGGCAGATGATTAGGAAGTTGAAAGACTATCTGAAAGTCTTCAATGAATTGACCCTTCTAGTCTCTTGTAAGTGAAATTTCTAAATTTCATTGTTTTATTTAAATTTTTTAACCATTTTCCCATTTCTATTTGTGTTATTCTAACCTTCTGTGTTATCTTCTCATTGTATAGGAACTAAATATCTGACCATCCATATCTTCTTCAAGAATCTTGTTACGGTATATGACATCATTGAGCAATTGAAGAATGGTCCTGATAATGATGTATTTGCACTTGTTTGCACCCTTAGTTCTTATCCGTTTACGGCTAGTAGTCGTGTATTTTTGGCCAGTTTTACGCCGGGTTGTGCTACTTTGTCATATTTCAAGTCCCAGACGTCAAAGGAAAGGCTAAGCACGAGTTTCGGGGCATTTGGAAGTCATTCGGTCGAGTTGGGGCCAAAGCACAGGCTGGCCTAAACCAAAACACGGTCGTGTACACAAACAGGCACGGCAGTGTTTTTATTGCCGAGAGCAGAACTGATGGAAAAGCAAAACACGGGATGGCCTAAAGCAATACACGGCCGTGTCCATATTTAGGCACGACCGTGTTTTGGCCGACGCGGGCGTGTTTTTAACACGGGGCAAAACACGGGCGGGCAAAACCAAAGCACGGCCGTGCCCACGACCTTGTTTTGCCTAGGGTCGGCCTTTTTAGGCAGATTTGAGCCAAAGATGAAAGGGTTCCGAGTTTTAGAGAGTTAGAGCGATTCTTAGAGAGAGAAAGTGACGAACTAGAGTTCCCAAGTGCCCTAGCTTGATCTTCATCACTATTGGAGCCTGGCTTGAGCTTGGAGAAGATCCGATTGAGCGCCAGAAGCAGATTATCATCCTTCACAGTATGGTTTCCGCATCTGAGCTAGATTTCCATCTCTCTCTAAGGAGTAGTTGTCTTATTCATATGGGTATGGAGAACCCTAGATTTGTATGTTAGGTATGATTTTATGAACCCAAGTACAGATTCAATGATTTGATTATATTCAATTGAGGTTTGAATGATTGAATGGCATGAATTCTGATCAAATTCCTGTTGTTTCTGCTTTAACCTAGAAAGAGAATATCTGCCTAGGTTGATAAAGCACCCTTAATTGAAGGTAGTGAATTGGCGACTTTAGTCGAGGAGCCAATTCACTATTCTGTACGGAATTTACTTCGGTAGGGGAGGTTTGGTTCGTTAGGGCCACAACCTGTTTACTCTGGTGGAGGTTAGTCGCCCGCTAGGGACACAGATTGAGAGGGTCTGGAGACATGTCTTGAACGGAACAGGCGCATCTTCAATGATTCCAGACTCCCCTTTGAGTGTGTTGCACACAGAATTTTCAAAGCAATTATCGAGTGGCTTGCACCACATAACAAAGTCGACAAGAATGAGGCTATTTATTGGCTGAACCAGAGAATTTCGAGGAATGTTGTTTTTTTTTTTTTTTTGCTGAGTTGTGGGCTGGTTTTTGTGTTTCAAATTACAGTGTGTGCAGGTGACGAACGGATTGCATCCTACGGGGTGATCATCTATGTCCATGGGTCTAAGTAGCTTCGTGATCACTTTGGACGTTCGGCTTTGGTTCGACTGCTATTTTTCCTTTGTTCGCACATTGATGTTGCGACTTTGACTGAGCTTTGAGTTTTTGTCTTGCAGTTTTTTTTTTGTTTCTGGACAGCAGGAGTCACCTGGTTGACTTAGCTCTCTTTTTGTGATGTTGGTCCTTTTGGATTTTGGGCACCCCTCGTGTTGTGTTTGGCTGTTTTTTCCTTCTCTTTTTATTTTAAGCACCATTATAAAAACATTGTTTGTTCAAGTAAACAAATACTATTTCTTTCTACCTAATTCAATGAATGAATATTCTAGCAATTTGTTTTCTTTTTTATTACTCAATTAATACCACTTTCTAGTCTACAATGGAAAGTGCAAGTGATGTTGGCAATGTTGCCAATGCAGATGCAAGTCTGAACATTCCAGATGGGAATGAGCAGGAGGGTAAAGAAAATGCGCCGGAGGAAGAGTATAAGAAAGATGGATATGACGATGTTGGTCATGACCTCTTGCCGCAACTGAAAGAAAAGGGTTATGTAGGTGTTGGTTCTTCTTCGGTTGATAAGTGATGATTTGGTGGTGACTTGTAATTTGTGACTTTATGTTCTAGTATTTGAGACTTGACTTGTTGAGTGATTTAGATATAGAAATGTAGGGCTGGACGTTTAATTTTAGGCATTTTAGCGATCTTTTTTGTATAGGGGAGCTGACCGGTTCGGTTACTCGGTTATAACCGACTCGTCTGTTGTGTTGCGGTTATCACGGTTAACCGAGCAACTAACTGGTAACCGACCAGTCCGTTGTCGGCTAACCGATGAATTCCATCGGGCGGTTGGCGGTAGAGGAGCCTGGCGTCGCGGTTAACCTGTAACCGACATTTCGCTTATCGGTTATAACCGATATAACTGAAAATTCAGCCCTAATATTACTTGTCAACTTTAAATACATTTCAACAACTAGTGATTTGAAATACATCCTAACAAAAGATTGGAACTATTTTTCAAACATTAAAAGTTTAGGTACTATAGTGTGAGGCAAAACATATGAAGTTACCAAAATGTAATTTTACCATTGATAACGATGTAATTGCACATATTTGCGCCCCTAGTTCTTATCCGTTTGAGGGGCATAGTCGTGTGTTTTTGGCCTATTTTATGCCAGGTTGTGCTATTTTGTCATGTTTCAGGTCCCAGGTGTAAAAGGGAAGGGTAAGCAGGAGTTTTGGGGCATTCGGAAGTTATTTCGGTGAAACTGAGACAAAACACGGGCACACCTAAACCAGAACACGGTCGTGTTCTGAGACCGTGCTTTTACTGCCGAGAGCTAATTCGAGTTGGGCAAACATTGGCCAAAACACGGACAGGGCTGAGATAGAACACGGGCGTGCTTCACCAAAGCACGGCTGTGTCCTCCCAAAAGCACGGCCGTGTTTCTCCTAGTGTAATTAACACTAGCCAAAGCACGGGCGGGCTGAGGCATTACACGGCCGTGCCCTCGACCGTGCTTTGGCCACTGATGCCTTTTTAAGCAGATTTTCAGCCAAAGAGAAGGGGATTCGAGTTTTAGAGAGATAGAA